CCAACCCCTTCACTTTTCAGATAAGGAAACTGAGGACTGGAGAATGAATAGAAGGAACTACGTGGCAGAGCAAGGATTTGAACTCAGGTTGTTTGTCTCCAGGTCCCTCCCTCTTTCTGCTGTTGCACTCTCCTTTGATAAGTAGCTTGGAGGGCCACATGAAAGAAGTGTGCGTCATCTCTCTTTGGAATTGTGGTCATGTTAGTGCCAGCCTGATGGCTTTCTCTCCTAACCTTGGCTTTACGAGGGAAATCATTTCCCCAGAATCGGCCGTGAGGCAGAGGACTGTATGTGGTCAAAGAAAGTGTGACCTCCATGCTTCTAGATGAATCTGCTGAGTTGTCTGGGTATCAGAACCTTCAGGGAATCACATCTCCCCTATTGTGCCTGTGTGATTCCTTATTAATAAAAGACTGTGGAACGATTGGCCAAAAGGCTTTCTTGGGATTTCTATAGAGGGCCTGAGTGAATGTTCTTTGTGTGAGCTCAGCCTACCTTTCCATCACTGCTCCCTGTTCTCCGCCAGTCTCTTCTTTATGCTTGGGTGGTCATGTTTGGAGATTTCCCCACAACTGGTTTTTCATACAGTCACATTTCTCAACCCATCTGAACGATGTTGTGCTTTGCATGGTAATCAGGGCCTCTTTGTCTCAGCTCCGGGCCGCTTGTACTTACTTCCTTCATTTCCCGCAGTCTGCAGGCAGTCTCTGCAATGTTAGTGTAGCCTAGGTCTTCCAGGAATAAACAACTTGGCTGTTATTTGGCGATGGTGGTGGTGGTAGTGGTGTTTCTAAGTGATTCATCCCCAATTTGCAGGTTCCTCTTTGAAAAATAAAACATGCAAACAAACCCCAAATAAAGCAATTAATGGGAATCATTTCACATACCAGGCTGGTGTGGCAGGTGCATGTGCTTGCCTCCTGGGCCTTATGCCTGTGTGCACAGAGTACTGTGGATTTACAAATACACACCTCAAAAGAGAAAGACAAAATGAAATGAAGGGGATTCACTAGCATATGTTTTAGAGAAGAAAAAGGCATTCCTGGTGTGTGATGAGTCATTTGTGAATTGCGGTCACCTGACTGGTGCTTTTATAAGAACTCCCAAAGAATGTTATTGAATGTGTAGCTCCAGGCTGCTACCTAGCATCTGTATTACTCAACTAATAACATTTTGTTTTAAAGTCGGTCATAAGAAAATATTTTGCAAACCAGCATCCTAAAAAGGTGAAGGGAAAAACTTGCATCCGGAAAGGTCTTGAGGATCCTGGGCTTGCTATCTTGCTTTGACATGTGGAATTAAGCTTAACAGCTTTGTCACCTGGGAAAGAATCTGTTTCTCCTCGTCAGGCATTCAGAACATAACAGGGTGGTTTTTGTTGTTGTTGCTGCTGGGTTTTGTTTTCGTTTTTTTGTTGTTTTGTTTTTGCCTTTCCGCCAATTCAGAGCCTAGTTTTGCAGTCCTCACATAGGCTACAAGTTTCCAGGAAATCAATGGTAGTTCAATGCCACCATAAAGGTGGGAGGACTGAGTCTTCATAAAGCATCATTTCTATTTCCACTAGTCAATCAAGGCCCACATCTTTCTCTCCAGCAGAGTCTGAGATGCCTATATTCTCAGATTATTTCCAAAGAGAATTGTTTCTTCGAGGTGCTATTTAAGAACGCATCAATTGAAACTTTCTGCTGAGTTGGGCCAAACTACCAAGGGAAAGGAAAAGAGGAGATGTCTAAATTATTGGCATTTGGAAGCATAAAGGGTTTCGTGGTCATTATAAAAAGCATAGCCCTGGCTTAGAGATCAGAGCAGAAAGAACAGTGAATCTTTCTGAAAGATATTGGAAATTGTGGCTTGTGATAAAAATGGTCTAGGTTTGATGAAATCTCCAGTGTCAATAAATGTGATCATCAGTTACAGTGCTACATTAATATTTGCATTGAAAAATCTTTATTGCTACCGATTAATGCCTGTGATTGGAAAGGGGGTGGGGGAAGCTGGCACAGAGAGGAATTTCAAAATACAGATGAACAACTTTGTGAGATAAGATTCCTTGGATGACTTCAGTGATCATTTAGTCCCATATTATCATTTTACAGATGAGAAAACTGAGGTCCAAGGTGATTATATGATTTGCCCAAAGTCCTGGTTAGTGGTAGAGCCAGGACTAGAATCTGGATTTTCTGACCAGTGCCCTTTCTATAGCACACTGCCCCTTAACTCTCAAAAGTGTTTTCATGAGTTCTTCATGTTAGTTAAAAGTAGTTATTTTCCCACTCAGAGGAAAACCAAAGACCAGGTCACTTTCCTTGCCTGTACCTGAAGTAAGTACCAAGTCCCCACTTCAAAGTGAGTGTTTAGAGCCATTTTAAACTGATCATAGTGGCTATAAACTTTGAACAAAGGCCAATAATTTTTTTAATTTATTATTTATTTGACATTCTTTTTAAATTTTGAATTCCAAATTGTCTCCCTCCCACCCCCTCCAACACCACCTGAGAAGGCAAGCAATATGATATCAATTATGCATGTGAAATTTTATAACATGTATCACATTGCTTGCCTTCTCAATGAGGAGGGAGGGCAGGAAGGGAAGGAGAGAATTTGAAACTCAAATTTTTTAAATGCATGTTTAAACTTGTTTTTACATGGAATTGGGGGGAAATATTTTTTTTCAAAAAAACATAACTGACATCAATTATACTTGTGAAATCATGCAAAACATTTTCATATTAGCCATATTTCAAAAAAAACAAGAAAAATTTAAAAAGTGAGAAAATTATACTTCAGTTTGTATTCAGAGTTCATCAGTTTTCTCCCTGGAAGTAGGTAGGATTTTTTCATCATGATTCCTTTGGAATTGTCTTGGGTCATTGTCTTGATCAGAGCAGCCAAGTTTTCACAGTTGATCTTCATTACAATATTGTTGTTACTGTGCACAATGATCTCGCAGTTCTTCTCACTTCACTTTGCATCAGTTCATACAGTTCTTGTGATGTTTTTCTGAAACCATTCCCCATCATTTTTTCCTCAGAGCACAATGTATTCCATCACATTCATATACCACAATTTGTTCAGCTGTTCCACAATTGATGGGCATCCACTCAATTTCCAATTCTTTGCCGCCACAAAAAGAGCTGCTCTAAATATTTTTGTACTTATGTATCTTTTTCCTTGATCTGTTTAGAATACAGACCTAGTAGTGGCATTATTGGATCAAAGGGTATATACAGTTTTATAGCCCCTTAGGCTTAGTTCTAAATTATATGTAAACAGTTTAACTTTAATGAGTCCATTATGATTACTCTTTCATGTTTAATTACCTTTCTATGCTTCTTTTGAGTCTTATATTTGAATGTCAAATTTTCTATCCAGCTCTGGCCTTTTCATCAGGAATGCTTGAAAGTCCTCTATGTCATTACACGTCCATTTTTCCCCTAACGGATTATACTCGGTTTTACTGGATAGGTGATTCTTGGTTGTGATCCTAGCTCCTTTGCCTTGTGGAATATCATATTCCAAGTCCTCCACTCCTCTAATGTGGTATGATCCTGACTGTGGCTCCTCCCCCACAAAGGCCAATAATAATGCAAATGTCAGTAGACTTCCAACTGATGATTTGTAGGGGAAAAAAGTTAGCCCTCTACCACCACCCCCATCTTGTGAAGCTAATGCAGATTTTCAGAAATTTTCAGCAAATTTCAGAAATTTCAGAAATTGTCAAAGGCCTTTAGCCAGGGCTCATCTGACTATCAGGTTTTCACTTATGAAACATTATGTATTCTTGTCAAATACATGTTTCATCTGTTTGAATCCAAGAATTCACAGAACAATTAGACCTTTTTAATTTTTTCAGTTCTCATTATGTTTAACTCATTTATTTGCCTCTGCAAGAAGAACCACTTTATGAGCTATCCTTCCTTTAAGCTGAAACTTCTTTGCTTCTTCCAGTTTCATTTTTGAGTGTTTCTCTAGGATGAGGGTAATGGTGACTCTGTGGTCTTTGAACATGGATCTCACATTTCAAGGACCAAACATTTAGTTCATTTACTTCCAAGTTTCCTTCCGAATCTAAATATGTGATTCTATGAATCAGGGTTTCTTAAACCTTTGGGTTTTTTTTCCTGGAACCCTGGGACAGTCTGGTAAAGCCTATGGATGGACCCCTTCTTAGAATCATGTTTTTAAATGCATAAAACATAGGATAACATAGTCATCAAAATATATTTCATTTTTTTTTTAAGTGAGGCAATCAAGGTTAAGTGACTTGCCCAATGTCACACAGTTAGTACGTGTCAAGTGTTTGATCTGAGGCCGGATCTGAACTCAGGCCCTTCTGACTTCAGGGCCGGTGCTCTATCCACTGTGCCACTTAGCTGCCCCTTCAAAATATATTTCTAAAAAAAAAGTTTGTGGAGCCCGGGTTAAGAATCCTTGCTATGAAAAAAAAAATTTAAAAAAAAAAAGAATCCTTGCTATGGCCTCTGTTATTCTTAGTCCCTTTACCCTTTGCCCTTTTTTCCACCACTCCTTTACTCTGCAGAACTGTACTAGGGTTGTCAGGGTGGAGCTGGGGAAAGAGGGCTGCAGTACTGAGAGAAATTTTGTATTTTTTGCTAGTTCACGGATTGTTGGCTAAATACTTTACCGTCAAGTATCCAGCCTGCTGTTGGTAAACATCTCCGTAATTGAGTAGGTTCGCTCTCAAATAGGAAGTGGTGTCAATTATTGTTACCTCTTGGTTTTGTTTTATTTGTCATTCACAAAAAGACTTTGTTCTTTTGCTGCCCTCATGACTGGTTTCAGTCTTCTGACAAAGCAGAATAATAATAAGATGCTGGTTTTCCTAGTCAAATCTTGTTGTCCGCCATATTGATTAAATTATATATATCTTATAATGTCTAAGTTCAACTTTAAGGAATTATGGGAGACATAGGTATCATGAGCATACTAAAAACAAGTTATTCTTATATTCTCATTTTTGCCAACTTTATCCCATACAGTCTGAGGTACATGACCTTGTATACGTTGAGCAACATGGGAGCATTGGATCTAATGAATCACATCTGTCAACCTCCATTGCCATGGCAACTGCCTTCCATTCTACATCCAAGAGACCCCGCAAAGTAAGAATAGTAATATGAAGCTATAAGATAATGTATGCACTTAGATTTCAAGAGAGCTATTTTTTCATCAGTGTGATTACTCTTTCTTCCAATTACGACCCCTTTATATACTTCAATAGACAGTTTAACTGTAGCCAGAAGAAATCATCATCTGATAGCCAGCTCCCAGGTGATGAGCCTCACTGAATTTAACTAGGTTATGTATGTATTTTGTGCTGCTTTTCAATAAGGAAACAATTGGCTGTGTAAATAGCAATTCAAACACTGTGCTATAACAGGTTAATAAATAGAGGACTGTTTTGCGACTACTATTAATTGGCTCTCACCTTTAACCAAGGTTTGGGTCTTAGCATCAGAGTGGCTGCCCCTTTTTTTGTTTGTTTTATGAGTGATAGTTATAGAAGTGGGTTTTGAAGAAGGTTGTCCCCTGACATCAGGATTCCTCCTGGTGGACCTTCAGAGGGAATTCTGTGTTACCCTATATGTAACTACAAACAAGGTATAACTAGGACTGCTAAAGTGATAAAGGGGTTCCTAGAGAATAATATCTGTAGGTCTCTTTGTTTAAGCATCGAATGAGAGACTATTTGTCAAAGCACTTCTCGCGGTGCCCAGAACATAGTAGGCAATATAGAAATTCTTATTCCCTTCTCTCTCAGAGCAGTCCTGGCAGTAGGAAGGAAACACACTTGAAAGGTATCATTTTCTTTCTGGACAGTCCAGTGAAATGCTGTTGAATAACCTTCAGTATAAAATGAGCAATGAAAACCAAGACTTGGGAGGGAAATCCACTGAATTTTCAGAAACAGGGCCTGATGTGTCTAATTCCACTTCTGAAAGAGATGCTGTTAGAAAGGAGCAAAAGTTGGACCATTGACAGAAGACTGACATTTACAACCACTTAGGCATATTTCAGTGCCCATAAATTAATAAGTGCTATTATCTTGTACCTTTAAATCTTCATTTGTCAAAATGTGTCCATCCATCCCTCTTCTTACCTCCAGTTTGCTCTTATACTACTACCTCAAATCCCCTCCTCTCCCTCCATTAACACATGTACACACAAATGTTTTGGCTTCAACCTGGTTTCTTTGAGGCTGGTGATAATGCATCTGAGGTTGTGGCTGATTTCTATAGAAGTCAGTTAATTTCCCTTTCTTCTATGGTCACTATACTATCTAATCCCATCCTGTAATAGTGTAAATAGTACACTCCTGGCCACAAGGGGGTATTAATGAGCACATGTCTAGATATTTGCTGATTTTGTGGGAGAACTGAGTCAGTAGTAGGAATGTAATGTACTAGACAGAGATCTGAACTGGCAGGACTAGGAATTTTTTTTCATCTCTGCCATTGAGTCCTTGCATGGTCATGACCATCCCTTCGCTGATCACAATTGTGACAGTGCTTATCAGGGAGGGAAATGATAGTGAAGAGCAGAAAGATGTTGAAATTGGCCAAATTCACCCAAGTATTTCTTGACAAGGTCCGAGCTAGAGGCAACATAATTGTGAGACTACTGAGGAATCACTTCACAAAGTATCTGAAAGAGGGGAAGGCAACAAACATGTGGAAAATACTGTAGACCTTATTATTACCAAAAAAGGCAACCAAGTGTATGTGAACAAGTGCAAACTGTATGTCTGATTTTCTCCCTGTACACTTATTTTTTCAAACTCATCTACACATGAGCTGAGGAAATCCTCGACGAGGGCATTAGCAGGGAACAAGAACACTTTTGTAAGTGCGCTTCTACTGTGGACCAGATTTTTTCCATTTTTTTGATTGACTTAAAGATATAGAAAACAAGGTCCCATTGGGCTTATTGTTTGTTAATTACTCAAATGCATTTTATTTGGCAGAACAAAAGATCTCCTTAAAGATTCTTTTCCAACAGTGTATCTCCCATATATACATCAACATCATTCAAGGTTCCTTGAAAGCTGTAACAACAGAAATACCCCCTCTTAAGCTGCCCTCTAATCATAAACATCAGATGATGCATAAAACATGGAAATCTGTGCTCCACAAAATCGTTTTCAAGTGTGACAGAAGAGATCTAGCACAGAGTCCAAACTGCAGAAAAATTCCCTGTGGATAGTGAGGTCCTTCAGATGTTTTTGATTGTGGACAACATCATACTAGTTGCATCAAGCCCCAGAACATCGTAGGATCTTCTGCAGAACAAAAGTGTTTGACCTGATCACACAGGAAGGATTGAGTGGAGAAAAATATGTTTCTTGTCCAGATTATGACAGGTAGATGCCTAATCTATAGGGTCCATGAGTATGTGTATCAATATCAATGTATGTATGTATATATATATATATATGTGTATATATATATATATATATATATATATATGTGACACAAACAATACAAATGGACTATGAATTGAGACCAGGATTAAACAGCAGGAGAAGAGCAGGCCAGATTGCCTTCAAGAATTTACCAAGCTCCTTTAAATGACTCTAAGCTTCTCTCAGCAACAAAGACCCATATTTTCATTAGCAGTGTTCTTCTAGTCTTCTTATATGACTAGGAGACATGGAATACAGAAGTCTTTCAAGAATTGAAAATGAGTAAGACACATCTGAGAGGCACATGGTGGATGTGAGCCAGCTGAAACACCTAATCAGCAAAGATCTTAGAAGGGCAACAAGAGTAAGTGGTGTCCTTGGGGCTTTTTGTGTGTTCCTCCTAAAAGATTCTCCATCTCCCGTCTCATCCCCCTTCTCTCCCCCCCCCAACCCCAACAGACTGTATGCTTCTTGAGGGCAACAACTTTTGTCGTCCTGTTTTTTATATACTCGGTGTCTAACAGAGTCCCTTACACATGGAAGAGATAGATACTGGACCTGTGATTTCACTGTTATAGCTCATTCCCTGTACCAGTACAGGTTGGCCCCTCTCTACAGTGTCTAATCTTGGAAAGTAGCCTAGGGTTGTCCCTGAGATGTTCAGTGTCTAGCCCATGGTTACCCAGTCAAGATGTGTCCCAGGTGGAACTTGAATTCAGGTCTTAATGACTTGGAGGCCAGCTCTCTACCTCCTATACCATACTACCTCTTCCAAAAGAGTTGCCATTCTTATTGGTTAAGAGACTAATAGCCTGTCATTAAGGATTTAGGGGAACTCACATAGGAAAGCTGTCTTAATTTATAGGGCACATAAAATGGAAATCCTGAGAATTCTAAGAAAGAGGCATATCATTGCATAATGGGTAGTAGACGTTTTTTCAGAACTTTGTAGGGTTTGGAATATGAGGTCATTTTCTTTTCAAGCCTGGATTATAAAATGTTTAAAGCTTAGTGAAACATATTTTATATTTAAGTGTCTGGCTCCATCATTTACAGATTAATGTTATAATCACTCTTTATTTATGCTGTGCGCTCAGCCAGAAGTCTTCAGGGCACCCACCAAAAATGCCCACTTAGCACAGCCATTTGGCTCTTTTTAATTGGGATGTTATTTTTTATTTAAAAGCCCCCTTCTCTTTCTGATCACCCCCTTTTTATGGAGAAAGATTGTAAAAAAGATTCAGTAAATCTTTGAGTAATCCTTAATAGTGCAATCCGTATATTGTTAGGGTTTATTTGTCTTAGTTGGGAGCATTTTAGGAATCCTAGCCCTCTATTGGAGAAGGTAATGTCTGCCAACGCCACTTTACAGAATTTCCCTGCAGTGGCTTCCTCTCCTAATATGTCAGCGTCTCTTGCCTGTTTCTCGTGGGGTCCAACAGCAGGTCAGCATTCATTGGTAAAGAAGGGCTTTCCTGAAGTGAGCAGCAAGCCATAGAAAGTCAATTAGTGAAAGCCAGCATCTACTGAGCTATTTGACAAGAAGGTGTTCTTGCTGCCAACATTTAGCAACTCGTGGAAATGGTCACCATTGGAAACCAGGTTTTGACTTTCTGCCCTGGGCTGCCAAATGTAGTACAGCCGAAAATGCTAAAAGGTAGTTGAACTTTGAATGATAATTTCAATGGCTGTCTAGTGAAATGGATTAATGCCTAATCACTACACCTCTGAGGCTTAGAGTTGCTCGCAGGAGAGAAAAATATGTTTGGGCTGACAGTTGAAAAGGTCACTGGTGAGCTGATGTCAGTTCCTAGCCGATTCCTAAATCTGGACTACTACTAAGATTTAGGAACTGGTGTGCATTTTTTTCCATCTTTTCAAACAACTGAGACATCACCAGGTTTCAATACAAATTATGATGCTTTTTTCAGTTCACTGGACAGATACTGTAGTCATTGGAGATGATGTCAAGGTTGCCATTATAGACTTTTTGCTCTGAAGTATAAGTGAGGCAGGGGCTCAGTGGTTCTGAATAATTCAGAAGCAGATTAAAATGTCACTGGGAAATATTTAATGAAATAAATACAAATACAATAGAAGGTAGATAATGTTAGGATGTGGTTTGTGGCCCCTAGAGATCCTTATGTACAGTTTAGGGGTCCCCATTTTTCATTGAGTTTGACACCACTGGTGTAGATCCTTTATCTAAGAGCCAGATTGCTTTTATTTTCAGCTAGGTGATAGCCGCTGACTTGGGATTAATCAAAAGAACACAAGTTACAGCTCTGAAATTAATTTACGTTTTTGGACTGTTTTGTTTTCCAAGTTACAGAACTCTGCAAACAGAAGAAAGAATGATAAACCCCATGAGAAGAAGGCAAAAAAAAGACATTGATCTATTAGGAGACACAAACATAAAGATAAAAAGGGACCCCCTAGATTTTATTGTGGTTCTATGGGACCTTTCTGTGCTGGAGAAGGCTCAAGAAGTCTGGCTAAGGCAGAGAACTGACTCATGGGATACCTCCTAAATCAATTTTCTTGAGAGGGAACCTGTTTTCCAAAAATCTCTGTTGGCACCTGGCTATTTTTCAAGAATGTTGGCCAAAGTGGACTATTATATCACTGATATTCCATGATCAGAATGAGAATTTTACAGTCTTGTTGGACTCCTAATTGATTGTGCACAAATCATTTGGC